TTTATATTCTTTATGTATTTTATATTCTTTATGTATTTTATATTCTTCATGTATTTTATATTCTTTATGTATTTTATATTCTTTATGTATTTTATAGTCTGTATGTAATTTATTCCTGTTGATCTTTGCACTGTGCTTGTTGTTTGTTTTAACACAATCTTTCTGATATGTTTCTTACTGAAAAGTGTCCTTGGGTGTTCTGAAAGGCGCTTTTTAAATCAAATGATTATTATTATTATTCATAAAGCAAACTACAACACACACATTCATACAGCTCTCTACTACATCTGTATAAGATAACCTGAATCTGTAAAGATTATTTATCACTTTTGATCACATTCATACACTGATGGGACACATCAGAGGCAATAATGGGTTTAGTGTCTTGCCCAGGGACACTTCAACATGTGACTGATGGTGGAACTGAACCCCCAACTCGCACAGTGGAGGACGACTGCTCTTTCCACTCAGCCATATCTGCTATAAAAATGGAGCTATGTCTGATTGGTCATGAAGCATTTATCCAGCTTTTACATCAGTGAAGTAGTTGTTTGTGGATCAATCCACGTATCGATAATATCAACACAAAACAGGCGGCTGAGACGAGCTGGTCTGGAAGCTCAGTCCTCACCTCCTTCTCCAGGTGTGCAGTGGAGAGCATCCTGTGCTCCAGCATCAACGTGTGGCATGGAGGCTGCACAGCTGCAGAAAGAAAAGCTTTGCAGAGAGTGGTGAAGGCTGCACAGAAGATGTTGGAGTCAGTCTCCCCACCATCACAGACATCTACACCTCCAGATGCAGGAAGAGGGCCACCTGCATCATGAAGGACCACACTCACCCAGCACACACACTTTTTGCCCCACTCCCCTCAGGAAGGAGGTTGAGGAGCATTAAGTGTAGAACCACTAGACTGAGGAACAGCTTCTACCCTGAGGCTGTTAATCACTGTGAACAAAAAAAAATCACTGTAATGCTACTTTAATTGGTGAAATGTGACTTTATCTGTGCTGCTGATTATTCATGCTGCTGATTTCTTTCTTTAATCTGCTGTATTCATACACATCTGCTCACAGCAGACTCATGTTCAGGCTTACAACATATTATTTTACAATATTAGCATTTAGCACATATGTGTATCATAGATCCTTATATACGGTTTCTTTTTATACTTTATATTTTTGCTATTTTTGGGTGTAACTGGGACCTTGAGTACAAAGTTTATTTCCACCTCATGTACCGCACGTGATGAGAATGACTATAAAGTCACCTTGAACCGTGAAACTCATGCAGTTTAAATTTTGGAACTCCACATATAAAAGTCATGTCAAAGTACTCCATCCATCCTCCCGTCACACTCTCCTCACTTGCTAGAACATTACCATTCCTATCGTTAACAAGCCTAACCTGCTACAGATCCTTTCTAGCCTGATCCTTCTGTTTTGCCAATCGGTACAAGTCATTCTCACCCTCTTTAGTGTCCAGTCTCCCATACAACTCATCATACACCTTCTGCTTTGCCTTAGTTACCTCCCTCTTTGTTCTACGTCCCATCTCCTTATCTTCCTGTCTCCTCTCTTCAGTCCTCTCTCTGTCATATTTCTTCTTGGCTAACCTCTTTCTTTGAACATCTTCCTGCACTTCTCTATTCCACCACCAGGTTTCCTGATCATCCATTCTCTGTCCAGATGACACACCAAGTACCTTCCTACCTGTCTCTCTAATTACTGTTGCTGTAGTAGTCCAGTCATCTGGAAGCTCTTTCTTACCACCCAGAGCCTTCAACAGCTCCTCTCTGAATTTCTCACAACATTCTTCCTTCTTCATCTTCCAACATTTGGTCTTCTCTGATTTGACTCTTGTTCTCTTCTTCACAACAACAGTCATTCTACACACAACCATCCGATGCTGTCTGGCCACGCTCTCCCCTGCCACAACTTTACAGTCTCCAATCTCCCTCAGGTTTCCTCTTCTACACAGAATGTAGTCGAGAAAATAGTTGCAGGTCAGTTGCGTGAACATCTACAAAGAAATAATCTGTTTGAAGAGTTTCAGTCAGGGTTTAGAGCTCATCATAGCACAGAAACAGCACTAGTAAAAGTAACTAATGATATTCTCATGGCCTCTGACACTGGACTTGTGTCTAAACTGGTCCTGTTAGACCTCAGTGCTGCATTTGATACAGTTGATCACAATATTTTACTACAAAGGCTTGAATATGATATTGGGATTACAGGAACAGCTCTAAAAAGTTATTAAACAGCATGGGATAAATTTTCATTGTTATGCTGATGACACACAATTATATTTGTCCATTAAACCCAACGAATCCAATCAGCTACTTAGACTACAAGCATGTCTTAAAGATATAAAAACCTGGATGACCCTTAATTTTCTCCTGTTGAACAGACAAGACTGAGGTTTTGGTTTTTGGACCTGAGCACCTTAGGAATGAATGTTTCAGTCTTTCTCCCTCCTTAGATGCATTAATCTGTCCTCCAGCTCTAATGTTAAAAATCTTGGTGTTATTTTTGATCAGGACATGTCTTTTATCCCCCACATTAAAAACGTTACTAGAACCTCCTTCTTCCACCTGCGTAATATCACTAACATTAGAAACATCTGATCTAAAGATGATGCAGAAAAACTGGTCCATGCATTTGTCACGTCTAGACTGGACTATTGCAATGGTTTATTATCTGGGTGTCCAAATACTTCTTTAAAACGTCTTCAGTTGATCCAAAATGCTGCTGCCAGAGTCTTAACTGGAGTTACTGGGAGAGATCATATCTCTCCAGTTTTAGCTTCTCTCCATTGGCTCCCTGTCAAATCCAGAATAGAATTCAAAATCTTACTTCTAACCTACAAAGCTCTCAACAACCTAGCTCCATCTTATATTACAGATCTTATTGTTCCATATTTTCCTAACAGAGCACTTCGCGCTCAGGCTCCAGGTTTACTTGTGGTTCCTAGAGTTTCCAAAAGCAGAATGGGAGGAAGATCTTTCAGTTATCAGGCTCCTCTCTTGTGGAACCAACTTCCAATCTCTGTCCGTGAGGCTGACACATTGTCCAGTTTTAAAACTAGGCTTAAGACTTTCCTTTTTGCTAAATCCTATAGTTAGGGTCGGCTTGGGTTTCCTGAGCTGTCCCTTAGTTCTGCTGCTATAGGCTTAGACTGCTGGAGGACAAACTGACCACACTTTTCACTCTGCTACTGTCTTTACTTACTCTGCTCAACCTGTTTTGTATTTGTAATTATTTTTCTATCCTTAACATGTTTTTGTCTTTCAGATACACCTGGACCTGGACCTATACCTGGACCTACCATTCTGTGTTCGTCTGTCTCTCCTTCCTGTCCTCTCAACCAGCAGGTCAAAGCAGATAGCCACTTGTCCTGAGTCTGGTTCTACTGGAGGTTTCTTCCTGTTAAAGGGAGATTTTCTTTCCACTGTCTCCACTGTGCTTGCTCAGGATGGGAGACTGCAACGAAGCCAAGATTCAACTTGTCTGCTGGATTCCTTAGAAAGAGAACTTTACCAACTGGCTTTTATGTGAATGTTTCTGTAAAGTGCCCTGAGACAACTTTGTTGTGATCTAGTGCTATAGAAATAAACTGAATTGAATTGAATTGACCTGCGTACTCCTTCCTCCACTCTTATAGGTCACTCCATGTTCCTCCCTCTTTTGGAAATAGTTGTTGACTACAGCCATTTCCATTCTCTTGGTATATTCCACCATCATCTTGTCACGATTCACGCCTGTTCGAGTCAAATCTTTTTCACTCTGTTCACTGCTTGGTGTCTGTAAACCTTCTTTTCTTTACCTTCCTCTTTTTATTTATGTTTGGGGTTGTGATTCTGTTTTCTGCAGCACTCATTGATCTCCTCTCCTCTGGCTGCATGTGGGTTTAAGGTTGTCTTCTCTCCAGCACACTCTGCACTGATTACCTCTCATTAAATGCACCTGTCGCTTCACCCTTTATAAACCTGACCTGCACACAGGGTGAGTGCCAGATAGGCGAACACAGTTTTACTGCAAGTAGTTATCCAGCGCTCATAGTTTCCGGTTTCCCTTGTAGTGTTTTGTTTCTTTTTCATAGTTCCCCTCCTGTCCAGTTTTTGTTTTTGCATTCCTTGCTCCTGTCCCGCTCCTTGGTTTATGTATCCTCGCCTCCTCGTGCTGACTTCTCGTTCTGGGACCTTCGCTCGCCTGACTTCGCCTCTAGACCGCTCCTCACCGGATCTACGCCTCCATTCATCGGCACCGACCTACGCCTCCTTCACACTGCCTCCTCGCCTGCTCCTGCTTTGGACTGACGCTCTTCTGATCTCCGGTTTCGACCCTCGCCTGATTGACTTCGCCTCACGCCTCACGGACCAGTGTGTCATCTCCTCCCATCCATCCTCGAGCTCTTCACTGCAGCTGGCTGTCTCCTCTCACCAGGACCATCCCCCCTGCAGCGATCCCACCGTGCTGGAACGTCTCAGCTCCTCTGAACCCCCTCCTGACAGAGTAACGACTCGTTCCAGTCGTTTACCCTGAGACCGACACTAGAGCCAGGTTCACTTTGAGGCAAGGCCCCACCAAGAAAAATAAACCTTTTAACCTGAGTCTTGGTGTTTGTGGTGATTTTGGTCCAGACATTTGGGGGTTCGTTACACATCTGTCCTTCCTGGTTTCTTTCCTTGACACCAAACCTACCCATCACTTCCTCATCCTCTGTTTCCTTCACCAACATGTCCATTCAGGTCTGCTCCCATCACCACTCTCTCCTCCCTGGGAATACTCTCTATCTATGTTTAGCATCAGACCTTCTACTTCTACCTTCAGGCACATCACCCTATCTGACACTCTTTTCACCTCTACTACATTCTGTCAACTCCTCCTTCAGGGCCACCCCTACCCCTTCTCTCTTTCTATTCACACCATGGTAAAACAGTTTGAACCCTGCTCCAATGCTGCGAGCCTTACTGCCCTTCCACTTGGTCTCTTGGACACAAACATCTACCTTCCTTCTCAGCATCATGTCAGCCAGCTCTCTATCTTTGCCTGTCATTGTCCCCACATTTAGAGTTGCAACCCTCAGTCCTACATTCTTCACTTTCCTCTTCTCCCTCTGTCTCCTGACACGTTTCCCTCCTCGTGGTCTTTGACTAACAGTAGCACAATTTCTGCTGGCATCCTGTTTTTCAACAGCACCAGTGACGTCGTTGTTAACCTGGACCTCGACCAATCTGGTATGGTTTCGCTTTAATGAACTCATAAGATGACTTGTTGACTTGGATGACTTTATTTATTTATTTATTTTTTACAAAAGTTAAAAAGCATATCTTAAGAACTAACATGCTTCATTGCAATCTAAATTTATGAGCACAAACCTTTAAAATAAAACTTTTTTCCTGCATTTTGGTTGCCAGTTTTAGAAAATTTTGAAATATTTTTTGTTTGTGCACATTAGGATGTTGTAAAGCTGTCATTTCTAACCCAAACTTGGAGCCCGGCCCGGCTCGGCCCGGATTAGGGCCGGTGCCAGGCTTTTGATTGCGGCCATTTGACAATGCACTAACCATTCTTGAAAGAGGTAAATAAATGCAGTTAAAGCAAAGATATTCAAGCAAATAAGCCATCTTTGTTCTTTCCTTTTAGAAGGTGGTGGTGTCATTTAAAAAAGATTCAGCTGCACTTAGCAGACGCGCACGGCCGATGACCTAAACAGGTGAGATCCCAAAATATCTGACATGTCAGAGCAGGGTCTGTGTCTGAATAATGCAGAATGCAGGCAGAAGCATTTAATGCTCTTTGACGGCCATGAAAGGACAAAAACCCCCTCAGCTCTGATCCTTGCCCTCTTTATTCAGCCGTGCGTCTGCTTAACGTTAATAACGAATGGGTTTGGACCTGTAGTTACTGTTAATTCATCAAGTCCGGGCAGGGTTCGGAAATGATGGCTACAGGCTGGGGCCGGGTCGGGTCAAATTTTTTGGGACTGAATACAACTCTTGGTTGTTGTCATTATTGTTACTGGCTGTCCTTCCAAAGATGTTTGAAGCTGTTTCTCGTGTGTGTCTGTGATGGAAGGCCTACCTACAAACAGCTGGCTGCTGAGATGGAGGCGAAGGTGTCCATCAGCCGGAGCCTCCAGAAAGCGTAGCGGCAGCTGATCGACCTGCAGAGAGGCCTCCTTCACGTTTCGCTCTGCCCTCACGTAGTGCCACTGCCTGTCATTCAACGGGAGGTGGGACTTCACGGACAGGACCGCCGGACCGTTGCCCACATCATAGGAGAAGGTCACCACCAGAGGGGCTGGGGGGGCGCACACACACACGCGCGCGCGCACACACACACACACACACACACACACACACACACACACACACACA